GGGGGGGGGGGGGTGCATTTTACGGCATCTTGCTGGTTTCATATTTAAGAAACTGGCTCAGTAACTGATTGAAATTGATGTTGGTCTATTGTGTAGATCTATGAAAAGCATTTCAGGAGAAGATCATCTGACAGGACCATGCAGGGGTGGGGGTGCATGCTTATACATAAGGGTATTCTCCCTTTTCAAATCTAGCTGCACTGAAATTGAATCTGTGAAGCTTGCTCAGATAACAACTTTAGATCCACTGTATGTATTATCAAAAAAAAATTTGATATGACCATCTGAGAGATAGATCCTGAGAGGGTGCATTTTACAGCAGGGTACCTGTCGGATATTGCACCCCCTTTGAATTCTGGCACTGTTGGTGCTACGTAAATGACACTTGCTCAGATAGTACAATCTCCCACACAGGATGTACTATCCATAGCATTTTGTGATGTAGTCACCCGAGACAAAGATGCAGGGGGGTGCCATTTACAGCAGGGTACGACAGGTGGGCTCACAGTCGCAGCTGAACACAAGAATAATATTCACAGCATTGAGCTGGCTGAACACATCAAGCGCTGCTGCTGAAGAGACTTTCATTCTCGTCAGTTTTAGTCGAGAATGAAAAAAGCAAAAGTGCTGTTTGGGAGTATTCTGCATATGAGGCAAACGACCAGGGAAAGGCTAAGGATGTTGGTAAGCCTATATGCAAACGATGACACAAAGTGGTGGCAATTAAGTCCAGTAGCACAACAAACTTGGCAAAGTATCTTAAAGACCGATACTCCGGTCATTGGGAGGAATTCCGAGAGGTCAGTAAGGCTTTCAACAACAGTGAAGTATTAAACAGTTATCATAAAAGTGAACCTGATCAGCAAACGTTAACGTCAGTTTAACTATTAAACTGGAATAACCGTCTGTTACGTTATCAATAAGTTAGCGGTTACAGCTAATAATAATACGATAACGCTGACGTGGGAGCTAGGTAGCAAACATTATCAGTCCCGTAACGCTAATAGACTGTTACGAGTATTTTAACAGAATAACACAATTATTTGTGCCTAAAGAGTGTTATGTTTCTCTTAAAGTCTCAGATTGAAGCTAGAAAAAAAAAGTCAACCAGCAACTACACAGGAACATTGACAGCCTACCCTACCAGCGCTATTTGATCAGCAATGAAAATATGGTGCCAAGTCATAACAAGCACAGAAAATGAATACATTTGCATGGACCAGATCCCTGTTTACACTGTGGAGGAACCTGGATCCCAAAAGCTTATTTACCAACTGAATCCAGGGTATTACCTTCCTTCACAGAATCATTTTATGTACACATGTATACAACTCAAGAAAACCAACAATCATGTAGCAGTTTGGGGGAAACCTTACTTGTCATGAAGCACTGTCCTTTGGCCTATAGAAGCACAGCTTCATTCATGGCAGTAACCCATGAATTTATAAATGAGTCCTGGGACATGCAGAGCTGGGGTTTGGGCTGTGACAGGCTCCACTCAGAGTATATAGGGGACAGCTTGAGGGAGGTTTCGGGGATAGTGTACAGGAAACATGGAAGATGGACATAAACAATATGGCAGGCATCACTACAGATGCTGCTTCAAATAACAAGAATGCATCTGAGCAGGATTTCACATGGGTCCCATGATTTGGTCACAGCCTGCATTTGGCCATTAACAAGGGCCATGTCTCTGGAGTTTATTTAGACTGAGAAAGACAGTGACAGCTTTCTGGAGGTCACCAAAGGTGATCCAGCAGCTAAAGAAAAAAGAAAGAGAATTACAGTTTGCAGAACACAGACTAATTCATGATTAGCCAACACACTGGAACTCAACTTTTGAAATGCTGGAAAGATTTCTTGAACAGCAACAAGCAGTCTGTGCAGTTTTTGGAGATGATAGAAAGAAGTGGCACCTACAGGGCTGCAAAGGGGCAGGAAAGGTCCAGAAGATTTCCAGAAATTTTATACTGGGGGAAAAAGGGTTGCTAGGGAGTGGGAAATTTCCAGAAACTTTTCATGGAAAGTTAAACTGGGGCATTTTGGAAATATTGTTTTTACGCACACATAATTACTCACAAGCACACATAATTACTCACAACAATTTCAATATTAGTGCTATGATTAGGGGACTAGAAACATACATAACATACTGTTCCATCTTGTTTGTACATCTTGTTTTAGCATTTTTGAGGCATTTGCAATTTGATTTGAATATCTTCCAAGCGAGGATACGCACGTGGTGAATGCTTAAAATGGCCCGTAGTTATTCTGTCACTGGAGACAGCGTCACTTACACTTTGTTGCAATAGCAGCCCCTCAAGCTGTAGCAGGTGAGCAAAACAGCCCAAGCGAGCAACTTACAAACCATCCAATGCTTATTTCTTTACTCACGTTGTCTCGTACAATTGCGTGTGCTTTGTTTAGTGGGATTTTCACCAAATGCTGCTTGCACCTCTCACAACTTTGTTTTTACAAATACAGACGCTCCTCTATTTACGAACTTTCAACTTACGAACTTTCAACCTAGTATGACTTCTGGCCGCTACTCCCGCCACGCAGCAGCGTAGCGTGCGTACTCACAGCATCCTAGTTCTTTGTATTTGCGTATACCCTTAAAATGATGTTGAACAACGACTTACGAACATTGCAAGTTACGAACGGCCATTCGGAACATATCTCGTTCACTAGTAGAGGAGCGTCTGTATCGCAAATCGCTGTACTACTAATTGCTGTTAAAAGTGTAAAATACCCACAGACTGTCAGCCCCTAATCTGATGCTCTTATGCTCCTTGTACTGCGAAGAATATGCACATGACATTGCAGCAAGCGGAAGTCTCACACCCACCGAGTAGCAAAAAACAGAGGCAGCGTTAGTGCTCAGCATGAATCCCGCAAAAATCACATCTAAAATGGGACAGAGATGTCGTGCAATTGACTGTACAAATAGTTTTAACACGAAATAGGAGACTGCCAAAAACTAAATAAGTAAGCATCTGGACAGAAAGCAACAACACGATCTAACAGCAGCACCCACAGGTGAGGATCCAGAAAACAAGAGGAGGAATGAGCTGACATTGTATGAAACCCTGCCTGAGTTGAGTGCTGAAGAGAACCCTCTAACGTGGTGGATAACAAGGAACACCTTGCCTGTGTATAGCTGCTTCAAGCTGTGCCTCAGAGCGTGTGTTTAGTGCATCGGGGCTCATTTGTGACCCAAGAAGAGTAAGACTTACAGACTTGCGTACATAAGAGCACATTGTTTTTGTAGCAAATTCAGGGCAGTGAGGCCAGCTACAGAGGCATACACTTTTGTGTTGACTGCAGACTGGAGCACAATGCATTCCCAACTCTCCTGTCTTAATATTCTGTTCACTTTTTTGAACAGCTGTAGCTAAAAATACTATCTTATAATAATCATCTAGTTCAGCTATACTATATGCAATGCGCAGTCAAGAAAAGAACACTTTAAGTTAAGTTAATTTTACTCTCTTTATCTGACTTGCCGACTCTACCCCAGACAACCTAAAAATATTGCCTTTTTTGTTTTATTGTACTACCTAAGAGAATCTTAAAATATTCGTCATATATATATATATATATATATATATATATATATATATACATACATATACATACACACACACACACACACCTTATCATTGCTACTCTATTTTCGCACTACCTCAGACAACTCAGAAAGTGTTGTTATTGATGTTATTGTTTGTATCATTCTGGATCTTTATTTTAAAAATATATGCCTCTTAATTTTGTGTAATTCCACCCCCCGGGTATCGAGCTTGAAACTGTAGTATTGTCCACAATCATACCTTATAGGCGCATTCACAGTTACGTTCCGACTTGCCGTAATAAACCAGCCGAGATTTGCGAAGGATCCGAACCAATAGGACCCCTTTGGCGACCCGGGAGCGACTGCGAAAGCTCCGTCTGATCTTCTGTATGGTGACTGTGGGGTGCAGATCTGCAACACGTGATAGAAAAACAATTAACGTTGCGCACAAAAAATAAGTACGCATTTGCGCTGTTACAACAATCGATTGCCGTACATATCGCTTTTAAAGGTGAATGCGTACATGCAACCTTGTATGTAACCATTGAAAAGACGAACATAAAAGAGTTTATTATAGCAATACGAATGGGCGTTTACTGAACTTTTAACGGCACAAGGCCATCCTAATTACCTTCCATATCTTCCTCTGTGTCGGAATCTGTGTTTGAGGCGGAGCCGGGGGGACCGTCTCTCCACATCTCACCGTTGTAATCCTGGTTATTCCACAAAGGCAGATACGAGCTTCTCTGGGCCCGCAAAGGAAGGAGACATGGACCATCTCCATCCGACCCGAACCAGGGAAGTGCATCTATGTCGATCCCGCAAAGCGCGTCGAGAGCCGCGTCCTCCCCCGCCTCTGAGTCCACTGTCAAGTTCACCACCCCGTAAGTGTGACAGCCGCCCTTTTGACTCTTTCTCTCCCCGCCAACAGAAAAGGTCACATTTCGCAGCTGGCAGCCGCATCGCAGCGTGTTACTTTCCACTAGTGAGTTGAGACTCGGATGAATGGTGACCCGCAGTTTGCAGTCGCCGTCGCTCACCGTGGCATCGTACAGGTTCTCCGAGGAGTTAACGGCTTGTGGGAAATGTATTCCAAAAGTCAAGTCTTTAATGTATCGGTCAATAGATATTAGATACAGTGGCTCTCTGCACGTCCTGGTGAATTCTGAATGAGAGGGGGCATTGCCCAGCGAAGATAACGTCCGTTGAAAGAAACAACCAGGACGACTTGAAACTGCAGCGGCCATCTTGGCCACAACGAAAACATTACGCAGCATTGTGGGAAATACTCTATCAATGTATGGTGGGGCGCAGGAGTCAATCTACTTGTACGTACGGTATTATGATTGGTAGACAATTTACTGTTATTGCTGTACTACTGTAATTTATTTTAGCTGCAGTTACAAAATCATATACAACATATTCTTGTTATACTTGCCATAATAAGGGATGTGGTGTTCATCATAGCAGAATGACAAAAGGTGAGATTCTACAACAGCAACAACAACAACAATAATACTAATTATTATAATTATTATTACCGTATAAATAAAGTGAGTGGCACAGTACTCTGCTCAGGTCGTCGGACCAGACAACATTCCAGGTAATGTGCTCAGGGGAGGTGCAGACCAACTAACAGATGTCCTCACAACCATCTACAATATCTCTCTGAGCACCACTGTCGTTGCAACCTGCTTCAAAGCCACCGCCATCATCTCCATGCCAAAGAAGTCTCCAGTGTCCTGCCTCAACGATTTCCGTTCCGTCACACTCACACCCATCATCATGAAGTGCTTTGAGAGGTTCGTTATGAGGTACATTAAAATATAGTAAAATATCCCCTTTTCAAAAGCAATTCATTTATATACTGCACATTCACTGTCCTGCCGCTGCTATTGTTTGCACATTTATTTATTGCTATCTATCCCAGTCTTGCATTTTTTGCACACTTCTGCTGTTAGAATACAGTATCTGTATTCATTTAAACTAGTACTGTTACTGCTTTGGTCAACTACTGTATGTTGTCTTGTCCTGTAATATTGTATTGTTGCCTTTGTGTTTATCTTGCATGCTCTCTCTCTTTGCTCCCCTTGCACTCTGTATATTTCTCTCCTGCCTGCACTTGTGTAATCTTGTGTTGATTCTATTTTTGTTTTTTGTATTACACCACAGTCCTGGAGGAACAATGTTTCTTTTCATTGTGTACATGGCTGAAAAGGCAATAAACCCACTTGACTTGTCTCGACTTGACTTGACTGTTGTCTCACGCCTCTAACACCGGGGTTTGACTTTCTGCCCTGGCTCCATGTGTGTGGAGCTGCATGTTCTCTCAATGTCATCTTGGTTGTCTAGTTTCCCCCCACAGCCCAGAAACATACTAAGGTGGATTGGAGTTGCCAAATTGTCCATAGGTGTGCAACCCTGCATAAGACAAAGCAAGTATACAAAATGGATGGATGGAAATATTTCAGCCCTGCACCCTCTTCTCCTGTGTTGCACTGCCGTCTGTCCCGCACCCTCATCTCCTGTGTTGCACTGCCGTCTGTCCCGCACCCTCTTGTCCTGTGTTGCACTGCCGTCTGTCCCGCACCCTCTTGTCCTGTGTTGCACTGCTGTATTTTGTCTCCCAGTGCCAAA